GCGGGCGCTGGCTCCCTCAAAGGCCGCCCGGCTCGCTCGGCTCCGCTCGCTCGGCGCTGTCAGAGAAGGGGCCGGCCCCGCGCGCCGGGAGGGAGCTTTTAAAGCGACACACACGCCGCCCAGCGCCGAGTGCCGAGCGCGCGAGCCCGGGGTCTCAGCTGCCAGTCGACCACGAGGGTGCTGCGCCTGCGGGGGGCTGGAGGCGCGCTAAGCCCGGCGAGACTCTGGCCGACCTCGGGGCGCGGAGGGACTGCGGTCTGGGGACTTAGTTCTTCCCGCCTTTCCAGGCACCCCTATTGCCCCTTCCCCCACTGCGGTGCACCCCAAGCGTCTCTTTTGGCTAAGTTTTCCCATCCCTCTCTCCTTATCATATCTCAACCTCCCCAGACCTTGCTTTGAAGCAGATTAATTCAGAAAATAGAATAAAGACACTCTTCACTGAGCACCTACTGTGTGCCAGGCTCTGGGCTAGGTAGAGCTGGAAGCTGGAGGCTCTGGTGAGAGGTATGCGTTAGACATAGATCATTTCTTCAGTTACTCATCCACTTACTCAACATTTATTCAGCACCTTCTGTGTGCCAGACCCCATGCTAGACTCTGGGGTCTCAGGAAGGAAAGGCAGCATTTTAGGAAGCTCACAGCTCCTGGGGAAGTTGGGGCGGTAAATTGCAGGACAAGGGCAAGTTCTAGAAGAAATGGTAAGGGATTGGGGAGGGCAGGGAGCAACCCAGGTCAGGGGCTGGCAGGCTCTCCCAGGAGGGAAACCTTGAGCTGCTTCTGGAAGGAGAAGTAGGAGTTACTCAGGTGACTGTCAGTGTGGGGGAGGTGGGGATGAGCACTGGGGGTGTGGGGTGGGGAAGGGTTAGAGCGGAGACTCAGAGGCAGAAGTGAGGGGAGAGGGAGTCTGAGCCAACTGTGCCCTTGGGAGATACGTATTTGACAGCTCTGTGGAAAGTGGATTAGAGGGAGACCAGATCCTGGAGAGGCTTGGAGGCCACAGTTAGGCACTAGGATTTTCTCCTGGAGCAGAGGGGAGCGATGATGTCAGAGAGGAACCTGGTCTTGCTTGCCTTCTCAGGAGATTCTTCTGTGGCGTTGTGGGTGGGGGAGCAGAGGGCTAGGCCACAGGGAGGGGACCAGTTAGGAGGCTGTTGCAAGAATCCAGCTGAGAGCGGGTGAGGCCGGAGTGGGAGCAGAGATGGAGAGGAGAGGAAGGTTTGAGAAAGAATTTAGGAGAATAAGATGGGACTTAGAGACAGGCTGAACTTTGAGAGGGAGGGAGAGTCCAGGATGCCTCTTACGGCCTATGGCTTACCGTTTGTGAGACTGGGCAGATGATTGTGCCGGCAGTTTTGTTAGAGAACAGTGGGGAAGAACAGGTCTGGGGTGAAGATGAGGAGTCCAATTTGGGACAGGGGGAGGTACCCTGAGGACAGTTGATTATATGGATCTATGCCTGGCCTTGAGAGGTGTTTTTTTGTTTTGTTTTGTTTTGTTTTTTTTATTGAATCGTCCGTCATTCGAGAGGATGAGATTAAGCAGGATGATTGTGTAGACTAGTACCAAAAGCAGGAAGTCTGGGCTGGAACTTTCGAAGACAGTCCCTGAGTGAGATGGAGCAGGAACGGTCAGGGAGATAGGAGAAGAACCAAGAGACTAGGGCATCTTGCAGGCCCAGGAGGACAGGGTTTGGAGGAAGGCATGCTCAGCCACGTCAAAGGCTGCACAGAGCTACTGGGAGAGAAGGAATGCAAAGTGCCCCCTGGCCTTGGGACTTAGGAGATCACCAGTGATGTGGCCAGAGCATGCCTTTTTTTGGGCGGGGGGCAGGGGGAGGGAGGAGAAGAAAGGTGGCAGTTGGGCATTGGGTGCTGAATGGTTAGTGAGGAATAGAAGTGAGTCTAAGTGACACTGTCAAAAATTCAGTTGACAGGGAGGTAGAGATCTGGAACTAGAGGGGAGGAAGAGTCAAGGGAGATGGGGCTGGGTGGCGGTTTTGAGGCTGGCCCATGGGGGGACCAAATTCCGGGGCCAGCGGTGTGCTAAGGATACTAATGGTTTCACTTGTTCTCCAAGCTCTCTCAGAGGGGTGTGAACAGGGGTCTTCTGGAGGCCCTGGGTCCTCCAGAAGCCGTGAGGGTGGGGATCCAGCTGCCTGGGGTGGAGGAGATATCCTCCTGGGGATGTGGGGAAACCAGAGGCCCCACCAAATCATCACTTTAAAAAAAATTGTGATAAAATACACATAAAATTTACCTTCTTAACTATTTTTAAGTGGGCAGTTCAGTGGTATTAAGTGCATTCACACTGTTGGGCAACCACCACCACCATCCATCTCTAGAACTCTTTTCATCTTGAAAAACTGAAACTCTGAATCCAGCAAATGAGAGCTGCCCATTCTTTGTCCCCCCCAGCCCCTGGCAAACACCATTCTGTTTTCTGTGTCCATGAATGTGACTACTCTAGGCACCACATAGAAGTGGAATCCGATAGTCTCACCAACCATTTTCACAGAAGCTATGATGCTAAGGATAGCCAACATCAAAAATGGGCTGAGCCTGAGGAAATAG